CTCGCTGGCACAAGATCATGAGATTCAAAATGTTAATATTCCCTAGGTCTGCCAGGGATTATACTGAATATGCCCCCTTGCCCAGCAGGGGATACTTTTATTGAGGCAATAATCTTGCTTAATTCAGTGTACTTAGATCTGTCTCACAGTTGCTTGGTTTAAGTGACAAGCTTTCTGTCTGCTGATATTGATTAACCTTTGTAGTCATTGTTTTACAATATTAGCAAACAATGTTAGTGACAATGTCTCCAGCAGAAGGAATGGTCAGTCCAGATCCCGAATCTTATAACATCTTCTGCAGGAAGTAATGGGTTAAACATAGAAGGTTGGATGAAGACCTGTTGTTAAAGCACCAAATATTTAAAGCACGTTAGCTTGCTGAAATACCGTTGTATTTTTTTGTCATTCACTTTTTTATTGAGTCATGTACCGGACGATAGAGTATGCCAATAGTACAGTGAATACAAGGCAACCGCGAGAAGCACGAAAACAAATGTCAGAAGAAGCAAACCTAGTGGCGTAGCTAGAGCTTTTGCCTCCCGGGGCTGTCCCTGAGTTTGCCATCTCTATCTCTACCCAAATACAAAATCGTTCCCCTCACAAACTGAATCATTGAATAAGTTGCAATACAATTGTCAGTTTCACCAATAAAGTGGTTATGTATAATTATTGGTGAAACTGACAATTGTATTGGAACTTATTGAATGAAAAATATTTTGTTTGCATATTTGCACATTGGTGTAAGGAGAGAAGGGATCTGTGAGTGCAGGGAGAGACGGGGTCGATGCAGGAAGGGCTCTGTGAGAGAGAAGAGATCTGTGCAAGGTGCAGGAGGTCTGTGAAAATGCAAGGAGAGAAGGGTCTGTGCAGGGAGGCAGGGCCGCCATCAAAGGGTGACAACCAGGGTCCGGGCCCCATGTGTAGCAGCGGAACTGCAGCTGGTGCAGTTCCACCGGGGCCCGCAAACTGATGGGGCCGATCGGGTGGCCCACGCACTTAGGGCCACCCGATGGGCCCCATATCTTAAGGGGCCTGGTCAGCGCTGTGGCGTGGTATAGCGTGACCGGGAGGAGCGCACGCCCGGCAATGAAGAGGGAGAGCCAGCCAACTCACAGTCCCATCAGCCCCAGCCACCCTCCTGCAAAGACAAGGTATGAGACAGGAAAATGAGCTGTGTCTGTATGTGTATGTGAATGTATGTCTGTATATATTTATATGTCTGTGTGTATGTATGTATGTCATTATGTATGTATGTCTGTATGTCTGTATGCATGTCATTATGTGTGTATGAATGTCAGTGTATGTATGTCTGCATGTCATTATGAATGTGTGTATATAGGGATGTCAGTGTCTGTATGAATGTATGTATGCCAGTATGAATGTATGTCTGTATGTATGTCTGTATATATGTATGTATGTCTGTATGTATGTCTGTATATATGTATGTATATCTGTATGCATGTCATTATGTGTGTATGAATGTCTGTCTGTCAGTCTGTATGAATGTGTGTATGCCAGTATGAATGTATGTCTGTATGGATGTATGTCTGTATGCATGTCTGTATGTATGTCTGCATGTCATTATGAATGTGTGTATGTCTGTCTGTCTGTATGAATGTATGTATGCCAGTATGAATGTCTGTCTGTATGTCATTATGAATGTGTCTGTACGTCCTTATGCATGTGTGTCTGTATGTATGTTAGTATGTGTCTGTCACTATGTACGCCTGTGTGTCTGTATATGTGTGTATGTCTCAGTATGTGTGTGTCAGCATGTATGCCTATATGCGTATCAGCATGTGTGTCTGTATGTATGTTAGTATGTGTCTGTCACTATGTACGCCTGTGTGTCTGTATATGTGTGTATGTCTCAGTATGTGTGTGTCAGTATGTATGCCTATATGCGTATCAGTATGTGTGTCTGTTAGTATGTATCAGTGTGTGTGTATCTGTGTCCTTTTGTATCAGTGAATGTGTTTGTGTCTGTGTGTGTATTCCTGTGCAGTGGCGTACATACCAGGGTCGCAGGGGTCGCGGCTGCGACCGGGCCCGGCCCTCCAGGGGGCCCGGCCGCCCCTGCGACCCGGTATGTACCCACAGGGCCTGCCTCTTCCCCTGGGGGGCCCAGGAGCCGGCCACCTCAGGGCCCCCCGAGGCTGGCCCTGCTGTCACCCGGCAGGCGGGTGGCCAGTGGGGCAGGCGGGCGCGCGAGGGAGCACTCAGTACTTCCTCTTCCGCTCCTTCGCGCACCGCACTGATGCCGGAGCCGAAAGATGACGTCATCTTCCGGCGCCGGCATCCCTACGCGGTGTGCGAGGGAGCGGAAGAGGAAGCACTGAGTGCTACCTCGCGCGCCCGCCTGCCCGACCGGCCACCCGCCTGCCGGGTGACAGCAGCACCACTGGACCCCAGGGAATCCCCCCAGCACTCCAAAATGTAAGGAGGCTGGGGGGATTAAATAATAAAATAAAAAAAACGTGTTAGTGTGTGTGAGTGTTAGAGTGAGTGTGTGTGAGTGTTAGAGTGAGTGTGTGTGAGTGTTAGTGTTAGAGTGAGTGTGTGTGTGTGTTAGAGAGTGTGTGAGTGTTAGAGAGTGAGTGTTAGTGTGTGTGTCTGCTAGTGAGTGTTAGTGTGTGTGAGTGTTAGAGTGTGTGAGTGTTAGAGTGTGTGAGTGTGAGTGTTAGAGTGATTGTTAGTGTGTGTGTGAGTGTTAGAGTGAGTGTTAGTGTGTGAGTGTTAGAGAGAGTGTTAGTGTTAGAGTGAGTGTTAGAGTGTGTGTGAGTGTTAGAGTGAGTGTGAGTGTTAGTGTGAGTGTTAGAGTGTGTGAGTGTGTTAGTGTGTGTGTCTGCTAGTGAGTGTCAGTGAGTGTTACTGTGTGTGTCTTACTGAGTGTGTGTGTTAGTGAGTCTGTTTGATGTCTGTTAGTGAGTGTGTGTTTGTCAATGAGAGTGTATGTTTTGTAAGTGCGTGTGTATGTATGTCTGTCACTCACTGTATCCCATTTATGGAGACACTATGTGTTTGTTTAAATGGTATCTAGTGTGTTCATAGGGGATCCTGAGTGTGTATGTCAGAAATGTAGTGTGTGTGTAAGTGGTGCAGCGTCTGTGTGTAGGGAATCTAGTGTGTGTTTGAAGGACTCAGGAGTGCGTATAGGAGATCTAGTGAGTGTGTGAGTGGTGCAGTGTGTTTGGGGGGTGCTGTGTGTGTGAGGGGTGTAGTGTGCATTTGTGAGGAGTATAGTGTGTGTGGGAGGGTGGTGTGTGTGGGGGGGGTGCAGTATGTGTGTGTGAGGGTGCTGTGTGTGAGGCCGCTGTGTGTTAGGGCACTGTGTGTTAGGGCACTGTGTGTTAGGGCACTGTGCGAGGGTTCTGTGTATTTGAGGGTGATGTGTGTGTGGGTGATGTGTGATGAGGTGCTGTGTGTGTGTTGGGGTGATGTGTGTGTGTGTGTGCTAGGTTGCTGTATGTGTTAGGGTGCTGTGTGTTTGTTAGGGTGCTGTGTGTGTGTTAGGGTGATGTGTCAGTTTTAGGGTGCTGGTGTTAGGGTGATGTGTGAGTGTTAGGGTGCTGTGTGAGTGCTAGGGTGCTGTGTGAGTGCTACGGTGCTGTGTGTGTTAGGGTGCTGTGTGTGTGTTAGGGTGCTGTGTGAGTGCTACGGTGCTGTGTGTGTGTGTTAGGGCGATGTGTCAATGTTAGGGTGTTGGTGTTAGGGTGCTGTGTGTGTGTTGGGGTGCTGTGTGTGTGTGTTAGGGTGCTGTGTCAATGTTAGGGTGCTGTGTGTGTGTTAGGGTGCTGTGTCAATGTTAGGGTGCTGGTGTTAGGGTGCTGGTGTTAGGGTGCTGTGTGTGTGTTAGGGTACTGTGTCAATGTTAGGGTGCTGTGGTTAGGTGCTGTGTGTGTGTGTTGGGGTGCTGTGTCAATGTTAGGGTGCTGTGCTGTGTTAGTGGTGCTGTGTGTGTGTGTTGGGTGCTGTGCAATGTTAGGTGCTGTGTGTGTTAGGGTGCTGGTGTTAGGGTGCTGTGTGTGTGTTAGGGTGCTGTGTGTGTGTGTTAGGGTGCTGTGTCAATGTTAGGTGCTGGTGTTAGGTGCTGTGTGTGTGTTAGGGTGCTGGTGTTAGGGTGCTGTGTGAGTGTTAGGGTGCTGGTGTTATGGTGCTGTGTCAATGTTAGGGTGCTGGTGTTAGGGTGCTGTGTGTGTGTTAGGGTGCTGGTGTTAGGGTGCTGGTGTTGCGGTGCTGTGTGTGTGTTGGGGTGCTGTGTCAATGTTAGGGTGCTGTGTGAGGGTGATGTGTGTGTTTCCAAGGATTTTGTATTGGGGGGAGGCAGGTAAATGGCACTATTAATGTTTTACTAAAAAATAATAATAATAATAATAATAAATACATAATAATAAATAACAAATACATAATAATAAATAATAATAAATACATAATAATAAATAATAATAAATAATAAATACATCATAATAATAAATAATAATAATAAATACATAATAAATAATAAATACATTATATCCCAACCCCCTCCATTCTTACCTGTAGTCTGGAAGGGGGGGGGGTCGTGCTGCTGCCAGCCATTCCTGGTGGTCCTCGTGGTAAGTGAACTCTAGCGAGACCATAGCAACGGTCCGGATCTCGTGAGAGAAACCCGGCGGAGATGCAAGTTAGAGCTCCGCCGGGTCCTCTCTCCTGGCGGCTGTCTCCCTCCCTCTCTCCCCGCCAGCGGCCGTGTTTGAGCGCATGTGGGCCGGTGAGGGACATCTTTGATCTCCCCACCGGCCCTTCATGGAACACAGCGGGGCCGGCGCTCGGATAGCGCCGGCCCTGCATAGACCGGCAGGGGAGATCCTGGGAACTCCCCTGCCGGCCTCGGCCCATGGCCACCGCAGCCCACCCGATGGCCAGTCCGGGCCTGAGCAGGTGCACTGGGGGCATTATATGTGTTAGCAGGGGCACTGGGGCATTAGATGGGAGAGCATGGACTCACTTACCAGGTAGCAGATTCGGGCCTCAGTTATCTACGCCTCCGCTGCTGGCTTAGCTCTGCCCCAATTGCCTTCTCTGATAGATCCGAGTGGAGGATAATGGAATGCTCTAGCTTGGTGCCACACAAACATGCTACACAGCGTGGCCAGCATTATACAACTGCTCTGGGCACCCCTCACACCTGTCACCCAGGGAGTGTGCAAGCTGTGTCGGCTGCATGGCGCCCCCTACTGCCATGCGCCCTGAGTGACCACACAGTTCGCACACCCCTAAGGCCGGCCCTGGATGTAGGCCCATCATCCAACACCAGGGTAGGGGCTCAGACTATGCCATCTAAGCAGGATATACTACAGCAGTAAGGTAGGAGTCTCTTAGTTCTTAGTTAGTCTCCCCACTGCCCCAGGATTTTTTCCAGATATTCAATGTTTGCCTAAACCTTACCATCCAGACATCAGATCTCTACAATTAGAAATGTAACGAATAAAGTTTTATATAGAAATGTAATGAATAAAGTTTTACCTATGGATAAACTACTGTTGCTGACATGGGTGGTGCCAATGTCGGAAAGAATAAGCACTTATTGGGTAGACAACTTGCATTGACAGATGAAGGTTGTTCACTTCTATAAATTGTTCTTTCTAGGAATGGATGTCAATGCCTATCTCCACCGTGTCGGTATTACAGCTACAACAGCGCCCTCTGTGGTAGCCTTGCGCGAGTTACACCGCCAGCACTTGCTATCTATTCCTTTCGAGAGCCTCAGTATCCACTGCGGTGAGAAGATTATTCTGGACCATGGTCTTCTGTATGAAAAACTTGTAGTGAAAAGACGTGGGGGCTTCTGCTACGAAAACAACGGCCTTTTTCTTTGGGTACTTCAAGTATTGGGCTACAAGCCACGTGTGCTGTCCGCCAAAGTAAAAAACACATTTACGGGTGTGTATGGCCCTCCGTTCGATCACATGATTCTGACAGTAGAACTTGAGGGAAGGCAGTGGCTTTGTGATGTAGGATTTGGAGAAGGGATCAGGGAACCTTTACCTTTAGAAGCAGGATGGGAAGAGGAGCAGGATAATCTGGTGTACCGGCTACGAGAGGATCAGGGAGAATGGTTCTTGGAAACAAATAAAGATAGCAATTGGAGTTCACTTTATAAGTTTACTCTAGAAGCGAAGCACTTTGAAGAATTTAAAGAAATGTGTGAATATCAACAGACGTCACCCAGCTCCTTCTTCTTCTGCAAGTCTTTTTGCTCTCTCCAGCTGCCCCGGGGAAGGCTGACCTACATGGGACACCGACTGATCCAAACAGAGTTTACAGAAAATGGTGAGGTGGTGAAGACTACGCAACAGCTCAAGGACGATGAAATCCTCGATGTGCTTCGGAATCGGTTCGGGATTGTCTTAAGTGGAAAGTTTGTCCCAAAAGATGAAGAATTATTACCTGCAACATATGATTAATTTGCTAATTGTTTTATAACAAGTGCTTTATGGCAAGGCTGCAAAA